TTTTTAATGTTAACTTTGAAACGATTCGTTTTCTCTGGCAAGCGGTGAGGCAACTTCAAGCAAAAGCAATGAATTTATAGGAACATAATATAATACAGAAGCAATGCAGTGGGCCTCCTAGTTTACGTTAGAGAGGTCCTACTCATACCTCACTCACCAACTATTTCCATTCTTGTATCTGTCTGCCCCACCCTTAAGCTAACAAATGGGCTTGCATCTCTTCTCAAAAGCGTGAACAGCAGAGTGTACAGTGCGTGATGCTCGTCTTCCCGGAAGTTAAAGAAGAGAGCAATGGGTGGATAGGTCAAGGATCGTCATAAGGTAAAAGGTGATAGTGAATGAAGACGCTAAAAACGAAACCGTTGCGTTTATCTTGTGGTGCATATATGTGAAGTACCACAGAACAGACGCTGAGGAGAGCACCAGCAGAGAATAGTACATTTTGAGGACAATGTCCCATAGAGAATACATTGTGGAAAGCTCAGCAGAGGCGTGACACTTTTCCAGGACAATGCCCCACGGAGCAGGAGCTGAGAGGAGCCCAACGGATGCATTGCATTTTCTGCAGCTGTCTCGTAAAGCAGATGATGTGGAGAGCCCAGCAGAGGCAGTAATCTCCCTACACAGTGTTCCACAGAGCAGAGGACTGAGGACAGCGTCCCACAGAGCACTTGTGAAGATCCCAGCAGAAAAATGGTGTTTCCTGAGGACAGACACTACTGCTCTGATAGTTCTACAGGACACCACCCCACCTCAGACAACACCGACCAAGTGTGCGTTTGCATTACAATCCCGGCGGGTTATTTTCTTCACTTGTAAATATTTTCCAAACTTGAGGAATAATTTCTTAGCGCCAGAGTCAGTGACGAAGCAGAGGAAGTGGTCGAACACGACAAACTCTTTCCCGTAATTGACACAGCCAAACTTCAACAAATGTGTTTGGATGCTTAATTAAAAATTAATTTACAACAATCAGCGGAAAATCGGGCAAGAATGATAGCCATCGAAGCAGAAACGATTCGTAAGTCTTAATAACAAAATCACAAATTTCTTTACCTAGAACTCCTGTCAGTTTTTTTCTCTATCCAGGGCACTGCTACTGCAGGCATTCCGTCTAGTTAGGACACTGCTACTGGAGGCATTCCGTCTAGTTAGGACACTGCTACTGGAGGCATTCCGTCTAGTTAGGACACTGCTACTGGAGGCATTCCGTCTAGTTAGGACACTTGCTGTAAGCATTCCGTCTTGTTAAGACACTGCTGCTGTAAGCATTCAGTCTAGTTAGGACACTGCTGCTGTAGGCATTCCGTCTAGCTAGGACACAGCTGCTGTAGGCATTCCGTCTAGTTAGGACACTGCTTCTGTAGGTATTCCATCTAGTTAGGACACTGCTGCTGTAGGCATTCCGTCTAGTTAGGACACTGCTGCTGTAGGCACTCCGTCTAGCTAGGACACTGCTGCTGTAGGCATTCCGTCTAGTTAGGACACTGCTGCTGTAGGCATTCCGTCTAGTTAGGACAGTGCTGCTGTAGGCATTCCGTCTGCTAGGACACTGCTGCTGTAGGCATTCTGTCTAGCTAGGACACAGCTGCTGTAGGCATTCCGTCTAGTTAGGACACTGCTGCTGTAGGCATTCCGTCTAGTTAGGACACTGCTGCTGTAGGCATTCCGTCTAGTTAGGACACTTCTGCTGTAGACATTCCGTCTAGCTAGGACACTGCTGCTGCCGTCTACTCAGGACACTGTGTCTGTATTCCCTTTAGCCAGGAGGCTGCTGCTGGTGTTCTTTCCAGCTAGAACCATCCAGTGAGAGAGAAGCTCATCTTTATCAAGGTTCCTTGATGGGTGTTGCCAGGCAGTCTGGCGCCTGATTACTACCTCGCCCACAGATTGCACTGACCTTGGTAAATGTACCTATATGTGAGCCAGGGTTAATCCAGCTCCTCATTCAGCATCTTTGTACTGTTTGTTTTGAGGGAGCCTGGGAGATGACGATGTTAATAAAGTTAATTGTAATGATTTTAATGATGTTAATGGTGATAATATAGTGATGGTAATATTGAAAATAATGATAAGCAAAACGATGATATAATAGGAAAAATTATTGTATCAATGATGGGAAAAATGATGATATTTAGGATGGAAAACATATAATAATAATGATGCTAATGATTGTAAAAATAATTAAAATGATAAAAAATGATAGTGATAACGTCGAAAGTGATAATCAAGGAGATGATTACGATATTAATAATAATGATATTTATGACAATAATAATGACAGCATTTCTGATAGCAATATAATAATTAATAATAACGATAAAGGAGGGTCACTAAAGAATTTCTCTCCTGTTCCATTGCTGTGTGTTAAACAAGTTTTACTGGAATAGGTTTAAGCTTCAGACAGACACACAGTGTATGAAACAGACACAAAAAAATAGTATTACATGGAAGCTTTATTGACGACGTTTCACCCACGTATGGGAGCACTGGAAACAATACGTTCGTAATGTTTCTTGTGGATACTGGCTGAATTTACACATTAATTTTAATTGTATATTTTTTCGGAATTTTTTCCATTTTTTGGGCTAATTTATTGTTCGTTTTATGTGAAAAAACTATGCCCGTGTAGGGCCATTCAGCGCAAGAAAATGGTAGAGGCTGATCAGTGAGACTGTTGTGTCAGAGGAAGTAAAGCTTGTTCAACAGGTTGAGAATTTTTCGAGCGCTCGTTACCCCCCCCCCCCCCCAAAAAAAAAAAAAATAGTGGAAACGCAGCGCTACAGTGAATTTTTAAGATGGAAACATGAAACAGCCAGAAATTTGAAGAAAAGAGAAGGAGAATTCAAAGTGAATTCTCATATGAGAAGAAAGGCCTTGTTGAACTTTAAGTGCGAATCTTTGGAAAGAGTTCTAAGTGATGGAGTGTGGAGGAAATGCACTCTGAGAGAGATTTATTGTTATTATTATTTAACAAAATGCGATGCATTAACAGTGTGTTGCTGCCCATTTCTGCATGACAGTTACACAGTAGTCACCACAGCAGAGTCGATCCAGAAGAACTGAAGCTTTTTCTCAGGAAAGCCTGTCCAGTACGCAAGAGAAATGGGATTTTAATGAACTGAACTTATATACAGGAGACAGAGAGGGAAAAAAAGAGAGGGAGGAAAAAGTTGTATAATTAATAAATCTGAATACATAGTAGGAAGGAGGCAGTTCTGGGAATATAGTTTTGTATGATAATCCCAGCAGATATGAAACCGTAAGAGACTCTTCATCACGGGAAGAACTAACTCAGTTTCAACTAAAAACACACAAACATGTCATGGAGAAACCGGTGTCAGTTGAAAACCGGTAAACTAAAATAAAGTAATTGCCTACCTGCATAAATGTAAACGTGTATAATTGATTTTAAGTAATATTAAATAAATTTAAACTGATCTATCGTATATTTAGTCAAATTTGGCTTAAAAAATACGTTCGGTTAGGTGTGATTTCTAAATTAGGCTACGTGCCTTTTTTTTTTGCACCATATTAAATGAAAAAAGTATATTAATCCACAAAAGAAAATTTGGGAAAAGTTCGATATTTTAGGCAGTTCGGCCTAACTGGCCAATTCGACTTATTACGCACGCACACAGAATCCATACATAACTTTAAGAAGAGGTATGACAAAGCTCACGGAGCAGGAAGAGTGACCTAGTAGCGATCACTGAAGAGGCGGGGCCAGGAACTATGACTCGACCTCTGCAACCACAACTAGGTGAGTACACACACACATACACATCACCTGGCTATCAAAGTATATATGGACACATACTATATACATACACGCGTCGCTACATGAGGGTCCTGGAGAGCAGGTCTTGCAGACTCTGTGTTATTAAATGCTCATCAACACGATGCAACATTTCCACTGTCTGGACCTTGACTGCGTAATTAATTTCCTCAGTATCAAGTGTTCCTCAAATTTGCACACACGCGCGCGCGCACGCATGCACACACACACACATACACATACACACACATACACACACATACACACCACACACACACACACATACACACACACACGTGAAGCAGTATCGCTGAATAGTGCTCCCAGGATATAGCGTTCTAGTGGCTGTCCTAAGATATTATTAGCGGTCATCGTACGTGAGTGAGTCAGTGAACATACCTACAAGAGTGCAATACCTTTCAAGAGTGCGAATAATGTGATAAGATCAAGAATTTTTACAATTTAGATTTGAATGAATTGTGAGTGAGGGAGGGTAGCAGTCAGCTGATCAGGCTGCTGGTGCAGTGTTGACAACAAAATATCCAAACAGTTTAATTGGGTTAACGGTGTGATCTGAAATATTAACAAATACATATGTTATTGGTTATAACAGCAGTGTAGTGATAAGGTCATGAAAGAGTGATTAAGTAAATACGAAAGTTAAGAAAAAATTA